GAACATGTAAAACTGAGTTGTCTCTCCTCTATCTTCAACAGGCTGAATAACAATCATCTTTGACATGGACATTTTCAGGTGGGGGGTCCTTAAGTCATGTCAGTTCAAGTCCAGCATACAAAACAGGTTAAGAACCATTGATCTGAAACCACGTCTACATCAACCATATTTGTTAAAACACATTTTCGTGTCACAACCATTTGCATCCACATTAGTGTCTCCAGTTGGTTTTAGTAGAGGCTCTGTCCACAGAGAAACACCGGAACATTTAAACAGTTCATCTCGTCCTCTTTTCATATAGCAAACAGCAGAACTTCATCACAGCCAATGTCTGGTGAGGAGCGAGACAGACAGCTGCTGATAACATCTGTATTTTATGACAAAATCTGCATAAATCCAGGTTAATGACATCAGCTCTGCTGTGTGTCGAGCACGGTGAGATTTAAAAAGAGTGATTGCAGGGGATGTTAAAGAGGACTGTATGTCGTCTTCTTAATATTACTGTCATAAAAAAGATGTTTTTACAAACTGAACTGCTTTCATGTGAATATACCATCAGTCACTGGTTCCCATTCTGGCTTGTGACCCATTATATCCAAGCCATGCCTGCTCATATGTGTGAACCCTCATGCGTCTACGAGCTGTGAGCAGCTCCCCCAAAAATGCTGACTTATTTCTTATCAGGCTGCTTCGTTTGGTTTGACTGGTTTTCAGGGGCCTTCATGTGTAAAACTGTGCAGCACGAGAAAAAACAAACACTAAACACACATACACACAGCCCTCCCAGGGCGTTCCCAGCCTGCACGTCGGTGTATTTATGTGAGGTGCATGTTGTCTGCGTGGCAGCATGGTGCCAAAGCATAAAGAATGGGCCGGCCCAGTCGTAACACGCTCTTTCACAAAACACTTCCAGCCTGTAGCAGAGAAGTGCCACATTCATCAGCTCTCTGCCAGAGCATTTACACACCCGCCATAACAGCTCCGACAGACGGAGGACGGAGGAGAAGAGACGTGTGACAAGGACCTGCAAAACTTAACAATCATGTGAGGAGTGATTCGTACATGAGCCAAAGTAAATGATTAAAGATCATAAGTATTATTATTAAAAAATGTGAAACTTTAGCAAACAGAAGAGCTGAAAAGTCATCTTTGCTCATTAAACAAAAGCTGTATCACCATGTATGACCTGTTCTCCACACATTTTGATGAATGACTTTTTCCTTTAAAACTCTGAGTCAGAGGTCTCCAACCTTTTTTACTCTGAGAGCCACTGTGACAAACATGTCTGTGTATTTGATTGCATTTGGAGCAGATTTAATGAGTGAAGTCGTTGTTGCCTTAACTACATCCTCAGAACCTTTGGGTGAGCTACTCCAGAACAGAGGGTGAGCTTGCGAGGCTCATGTTTGAGACCCCTGCTCTGAATAAGTATTAAAGGAAAAAGGTGCTGTGAAAATGCATCTTTGCTCCTCTGTCCACACCAAACCAGCCGTTCTCACACCCAGAGACAGTCTTTAAAGACCAGATCCAGAGTGGGTGGATCTCTCACCAGCAGCTTTGCTTTTCAGTACAAGGAAAACTGGGCTTTTGGAAAGCAGTGAGGAACACACGGTGATGGCTGTGTGGCAGTAACATAAGATTACATCTGTGTGTGTACCCTGACTGGATCTATGATCTCTCTTTAAACGTCAGTCTTGCTGCTGTCATTACAGAAATGACCGGCTCACACCGCAGTGCAGTGAAGACAAATTTCCAGTCACTATAGACAGTGTCTGTGTTTCTGCTTGGTAGACGTGAGTGTTCTTCATGTCCAGCTCTCTCCTTGTTCATTTTCTCTTTTCATTAAGCTAATTACACCACACAGCATCGTTATTTACAAAGTGGATCTCGGTCTTCATGCTTTTGGATGACCGCATGGGCATAAAGCTGTGATTTGAGTGACCGTCCTACTGCATGTGCCAACCTCTTCTATAACTGATACCTACTTGTTGTCAGCAGACAGCGACACCTGGGACGTGCCTTCTCCTCTCAGGTGAAGGCAGCAGATGTCCCCATGCTCTGCAGCTGTCAGACAGGTGCTGACGCTGCAGTTTCTAAATGATAACACCACTGCAGCTTTGACATGACATTCTGCATGTGTGTTTGTCTTTTTTCAACCTCGTGAGAGATGCATATCTGCTTAACAAAAATAATACACTTGTACTGTCTCAGTTTGATTTGGTTTGATCTTCTCTTCCTGCAGCCCTGTCGTTCCCTCCTCCATTCTTCCTCTCTGGTTTAATTACAGCAGCTGTGAGTGGCTGTGGCGGATCTGTTGCTACTGGATCATCCATCCACTTTTATTACTCAGTGACGTCGCCTCCACTCTATCTGTCATCAGCCTTGTTCCATGATAACAGACATTTGTCACTGTCTTGTGCCTCCCTGATGTAATACCATCAGCACCGGTGACAGCCACTTGGCAAGGGACACTGGGACACACACACACACACACACACGCACACACACACGTATAGTGAGAGGCTTGTATGACCAGAAGGGAACACTGCAATAAAGATCACCAGAATGCTTATTAAGGACAGAGGCACCGCCATTAATTACAATGCTGAGATGCGCAAGGCGGCATTTGTGTACGTGTGTGTGTGTGTGTGTGTGTGTGTATATGTGTTGTGTATGTGTGTGTGTGAGAAGAGAGAGAGAGAGAGAGAGAGGAGAGAGAGAGAGAGAGAGAGAGAGAGGAAGTGACGTCGTAATAAGATTAGATGGAATGGCTTGTTCTGAATTACACACAGCTCATTATAACTTCATTAGCCAATTATATCAGGAAAAACCTCAAGGAGTGAATTTGTTAGCAGTTACACCATAGAATATTCAATCAATAACCAATGTGTTTCGGGGACACACATTGAGTTGATGGGAACGAATGAGCTTTAAGTCAGTGGTACAGTCCTGAGGTCACTGTGGCATATTGAAGGGTGAGAGTGCTTGAGTCCGTAAATAACAATGGGTGTGCATGTGTGTGTGAGTGTGTTTGTAATGTGAATCATTAGATATTAAGGTGAAAACATGTTTTACAGCCAGGATAAGGTTCATCCCTGAAGTCATGGAGATGTGTGTGTGTGTGTGTGTGTGTGTGTGTGTGTGTGTGTGTGTATGTGTGTCAGTGATGGGTTGCCATGATTGAAAATTTATGTTTGAGTTTTTGTGTTATGTTTGCGCTTCATGAGTTTGGTCATTATCATTTCCTGTTTTATTTTGTAGTTACTTTCCCTGTGTCTCTTGATGTTTTTATTTTCTGTCTTTGTCCAGTTTCCCTCCCTGTTGACTGTCTCCCCCGACCTAATGTGTTTCACCTGTGTTCAATCACCGTTGCCTCCCTTGTGTCTATTTAGTCTCTGTGCTCCCCTTTGTCTTAGTCTGTGTCAGTTCCTGTCCCCTGTGTTACTCTCCATTTTGGATTTTTAGTTCTGTAAGTAAGTAAGACCTTTTTTCATCGACTCCCTTGTGTTGAATACATGTGGGTCCAGCCTTGCCTTATTCGTTACACATGTAAACAATCCTGGATATACTGGATTTTAAAAAATGAACGTTGCAATGTTTTAAGAGGAAGTAAACTAACTCAACATGTTTGTGAGGATTTACACAGTGTGTTTGTTTGTTCGAGTAACACTTGATGTAAACTTGATTTCTGTTTGTTTTACATGAAGACTACACCTCACCTTTAATCAGGCGTGTCTCAGACTGGGCTGATCGGCCACTTTCCTTTTTGACCACTAAGGGTCAGGAGTGAGTCAGGGCTGATGCTGGTGTGTAGAGAATCAGAAGTGTAATTGAGTGTATTAGATAAAGCCTCAGGTATAAACTGCTTTTAATCCATAGTATCAACCTGTGGAAACACTTTCCCACAGCACACATCTGGACAAGTTATATAATAACTGAGTGTCCTTGTACAGTTCATGCTGATTCACTGGGACTCTTCAATGGAGCAGAGTCATTGTTAATGTTGTAAGTAACATTGTGATGTGAGTGTACACCCCTCCATCATACTCTTTATCATATGGTGACACACTTGTTCGAGGGGAAAAAAGGTCCAGGTCTGGGCCAGAGTCTAAGTCTCTGGAAATGTGCAGTCCAGTCAGTGTGAAGGAAAGATCCCTGCATAAATGTTTACAGTGAGTAGTGTCTACCACAAACACACATGACAGATGAAGTAGGCCTGCTGTGTTCTCGTGATGCCTTCTAACACTCAACTGAATCATTTCCACTCCGGTTTGCTGGACAGAGCTCTGAGGTGAGCGGATACTGGAGAGAGGGTAAACTGTGTTTGAGAATAACACACACATTAAAACACGCCAAGATACAGCTTTACAATACTATTCACTTATGTAGTTATCTTAATTGAAAAAGGCTTATATACGTACAGTGTGTCCATGTTTTCAAACAAACTGTATTTTGCTGTTTGTACACAACACACTTTAGCCCACTTCACAGTACTCTGATACAGTGTGTAAAATGACTGTAGAGGGATTTTATTTCATTACATGTCAAACAATATGAACAAGTAATATAACTTTACAACCAAAAGAAGATGATGTAGTCAAAACATGCATAAATATTCATAGTTCATAATAATTTTTACTGCAATATACAAAAGGTTAAAACATGCACTTTTAAAAGGTTAATGTCTGTCACACATGCATCCTGCACACTCCCAGTTCCACACAAGCTGCTGCGTCTATGTCCACAAGCTCTGATCATTTAGTCTAAACCCCGACACGTGACATGTGATTATTGTTTACTGCATTGTATGTCGCCATGCCAACAAGTGGGAGAACTTAAGCACGGCTAGCACTCAAGCAATGAAAGCGGGTACATGGTAGCTGCGCTCATCATATTACGAACATGACTAAATAATGAAAGTGCCATAATAGACCCCCCCCACACACACACACACACACACACACACATACGCCTCACCCCCTGTGATGCTAACCCACTGTTGTAAATGTCTGTTGATGAAAAGCTGCAGTTTAAAACCCTCAAAGTCAAAGTGTCGTTAAAGGAAAAGTGCAGTTTATTATAAAGTGGATTTTGTTTCTGTGGCTCTGACTGCTTCACAGTTTACTGATGGAAGCAGTTACTAAAGAAGAAAAGTGTTGATTCTTTAGACTGATTCGTTGTCCACGTGTTTGTGAATGAAATCTTATCATTAATGATTAAACTGAACAGCAAAAACAAAAGTTGTAAGAGAGCATAGTTTTCTTTGCATGGATACCTCGTTTCAATAGTTTATTAAGGCATAGTGCAAATTTATAAAAACTTTGGTTGTTGTTCATAACAACTATAATAACATTGTAACAGCAGAGAGCAGGTAACATGGTGACATTGATACAATGCAGTTGCACAAACATACAAACCAACAGTTTCTGCAGATGATCTGAACCTCTTTGTTTGGAGGTTAGAGTTAGGTTTGTAAAGGTTGCTATGTTGGTTTCTAACCTGCCTGATGCTCTGATCCCTCCTGTTTCTTGTAATGTCCCAGATCTCAGATATTTGCCAAGATATAATTAACATGAATTTTCCTTTAATGGCTCAAACAGACTGAAACATTACATTGATAAGAAGTACAAGTACAAGGACTGAAGTGTATCTTCAGCAGTGTTGTGTGTGTTACCTGAGTGTGATCCAAGTCCAGCTTCCCCCATCAAGAGCCCACAGAGTCCATGCGAGGTGGTGATGGGTGAACATGTACATATCACAATACAAGAATGGAGAAGAGGAAGTGATGAGTGGTTTCGCAGTCCCAGTGAGAACCTGAGGCTCTGTTAAGGTACAGAAGAAGAGCTGTCGAACTCCAGCGATGCGTTTTCAATTCCGCCGTAACCGTTCATCTTCTTCAGCTTCAGCTGGTCCACGTGGATCAGGCCCTGGGTCTCTAAGACCGCCTCCTTCTTAGAGAACATTCGGCTGATCTCCATGAAGGTTTTGTTTCTGGTCTCTGGGATCACGATGTAGACGTAGACGGCCACCGTCAGACAAATGATGGCAAACACCAAGTAGCAGTAAGACCCCGCCGACATCTGATGGAAGGATCGAGAGAAAAGGACAGAAAAATGAGTTTGAGACCTGAGAGTAGACTGACATCATCTCATTAAAGAATAAAGTGAATGAACTGAGGTAATCTACTCTTACTCAAACCTCCTTGTTGGAACCTCATTTAGTAATTTAGGACCTTTGTATTCATATTAGGTCAAGTATTAAACTCCTGGTCACTTTGAATTATGACCCACTCATTAATTCTGTTGCAGAGTCTGTTAATGCTCACTTCTTCCAGTCTGAATGATTGGACATATAAATGTAATATGAATTTTGCCAAAAGTTATATATTTGTTCAAGTCCATTGCGCTGAAGCAGGTTTATTACATGTATATGGAATAATAAAAAAAAAAATCAAGGATAAGATGGAATCTACTGTATTTGTCATATGATGGTGAAGAAGTTTCCCAACATCTATTGGTCTATTGTTCCAAACAATCAAGAGCAGCAATGTTTTGTTTTTTTAACTATTCAGATATTACTGGATAACAATTAAACAGGCTACAGCACCCGCTCTGCCTTTACATAAGCAGCAACACTCCAAACAGCGGTCTGAATGAAGCCCCTGTTTATTCTAAACAGAACAAATACAATAATTAAAAAAACAGCATGTGTGTTCTCTAGAACTCACAATTGATGAAATGTCAGTCTAAAAAGGAAAGAGTTTTTGTCTGATTAAAGCAATGGATTCAAACCAGAAAGAGAAACTGAGTTTTAAGTTTAAGGCACCATAGCGGGTCCCAAAAGTAACAAGCAGTCTCTATGGGGGCAACGATCAGATCAATTAGATCTAATCACAATAACTATGTGATCGTTCGAAGCCTGGTGGTATTACTGTAACAGGCCCTGTGTGAGCAGTGCTGAGTCACATGTTGCTCTCACCTGTAAGAAGGGGAAGACGAAGCCCACAGTAAAGTTGGACAGCCAGTTGAGTGATCCTCCTACGATGTAGGCCGCCGGGCGGTGGGACTGTTTAAACAGCTCTGCTGTGATCAGGAAGGGAACGCCCGCTGGAACAGGAACAAAGACAAACATAGAAAACATATCAATACAAATCACAGAACTAACAGGCTTGTGCCGAGGTCACTGAGAGGGGCATGCTACGGTTTAGTATTAGTTCTTCCATTAGTTTGGACTGAGATATCCTGAAGGTCCAAAACTCATCTTACATTTCCTCTAATGCAACTTTGACAGTGTCGTTGGTTCCGCCCACATCTTTCGAACTCTATAGCACAGTCCCACAATTAGATCATTCTAATGACATCACTGACATCAGTCATCATCAGGGTTATCTTCTTCCAGTGATCAACTGTTCTCACTTGCTGAATAATTTTAACCTTGATGAGTGAACTGACCCTAAAGTGTAATAAGCCTTTTTAGTCATTTTAAATAGACAAATCAACACTGTTCATATTTTTCTTTATTTCTTTGCATGTAGTGACTCAGAGCTGCTGCCTGCTGTCACATCATACAGAATCTGATGATAACTGTTGAAAGTGAATAGATTTTTTCAAAAACCTCACGCAGCAGCTTCCTTCAGCCACGCGGAGGCAGACGAAGGGTTAAAGCAGCTCACGAGTCACCCCCTATGTGTTTCTTATAAAGGGAAGTGCAGATGAGTCTCCTAACGGGATACGTCTGGGCAACAGGCAACATTTCCACTGATGAGTGGCTGTGTGTAGAGAATATATTATTCATGTTCCTGATTTGATTATTCATGTTCATTCATCATCGTTCACTCCAATAAGGTTTATGAAAGGCTAATTAGAGATAAACGGAATAAGCCAATCGGGCGAGGGTCAGGCCAGCATGTGGACATGAGAGTCATACATCACAGGATTCATATAAGTAATATTTTATCATTATATTCTATCATTAAAATTGCATTATTTGTCTCTCTTACAGGGGGGCGTAGAGCGTGGATTTGTCAGCATGCATAATTGCATAGGGAAAAATAAATAGTGATATTTATCACTAACTGTGAAAAAGCCTTACTAACAATTTGAAATGCACTATATTATTCCTATACCCATATATACCATATTTATTCCTATAGCTATTAAAGCTTGTAAATATTAATTAATTAGCAATTAACAGATTTGACAGTGAGTAAAAATGCAGATTAATACAGTAGCTTTAGATGTTCAAGGGTAACAGTATGTTGTGTATTGTGTTTAAGGTTTGACCTCCAGAGGGCACCAACCAATAACACAAAGCAGTGTGCACATGAACCAGGTCAGTAGGACTGTTCATCACCTGGGATTGGAGACGACAAACAGAAAGAGCTTTGATTTTAAATAATGAAATCATCTCTTCTCAGAGTTAAGGTTACTTCAGCCTCCACCACAATACAGTGGAGAAATGTTGAAATCTAAATTCCAGAGTCAGCATCCAGGGCCTGTATTTATCCGACTCCACAGAAGTGTCTACAGTACCAGCTTCAGTTGTTGTCTGGATGTGAGCAATAAGAAATATTGCCAGATAAATGTCAAATAAAGGAAAAGTGTTGTAACATCTTATCAAATATTCAAATGCAAATAATTGACCAAAACTACTCAGGTCTTAAAAATACTTCAGTTTCAGCTTCAGTTCAGGTATAATTATTATTATCATTGTTATTATTATTATTATTAGTAGTAGTAGTAGTAGTAGTATTACAGTCAGAACCAACTTCACAGACTCTGCAGCTCTTTGACATTCAACAGATCTTTCAAGTCAAAACAAGTTTCCTAAATTGAAATCTAAATAATTTGTTATTGTCCATTAAATGAGTAGATGTGAAGAATTTTGACTTCCATCTCTCACTGAGTCCAAATCTGACTTTTAACAGATGGCTAAATACATGCCCTGATTGCTTTGGATCATCCACAGAACACCCTATGGGCAGTTTACATTAGAACTAAAATCACATGTCAATTTGTCAAGTGATTGATCATTGAAGATCAAACCTGCAAACATCAGTTTAGGGTCTGGACTGAAATAGACATTTGAAGATGTCAACTTGAGCTTTGGGAAATTTTGATGGACACTATTAACTGGCTGTGGACATATTATGGACCAGATAATTGATTGACTGAATCTAGAAAATTAGATAAATCAATATGAAAATGGTGTCCTGTTTACAGCATGGAAGGATGTAACATGCAGTGTAGGGCATCTTACCTGGACCGATACAGAAGCCAGCGATGATGCCGACCACACAGCAGACACTGACGTAGCGCATGAATGATAAGTGAACCTGCAGGGAGAAGAAACATGAAGAAGTCGGTTTGATCACACCAAGTTATTTTTCCCATCCCTGCTTCACCCCTCAGCCCACCACTCTGTTGCCCTGCATGTAAATCACTGTTCCACAACACAAAGCTGGAGTACAGAGCGTTCTGCCAAGTGAAAGTGAAACAGGCACAGCTGTTCCTCCCCACACTCGTCCCCCTGTTAAACATCTGGGATGCGTTTATTTGTCATCCCCTCTCCTCTCTCACTTCCACTTGCCTCCTACCAGGAAGCAACTCATAGAAAGTGAGGAATAGAAGGGAGGAAAGTGAGTGACAGAAAAAGAGATAATGAGTCAGTCTGGAGCCTTTCTGTGAGGAGTTAGAGTGTTCTCATTGCAGTCTGGGTTTCTTCCAACAGACACATGCAGGTTAGGAGCAGCGGACACTCTGCACTGTCTGTAGCTGTGCGTTTAGACTGGAAACAGAACTATGTTAACAAGCACAGAACTGATTTAAATTGACTATTTACCACACAGTACAGCAACTACAACCACTGCTGTCAAGTACACCACAGATCTGAACAGGCAGTAGGCCTACTGAGGACTGTAACTGCTAGAAATCAGCATAGGTCATTTTCTCACAATGTCTCTTTAAAGCTCCATACTTTCCTCTTCTGTGTTTTATTTGAAGTGTTAAACCATAAGGAGATTTTTTTGTGGTTTTAAGAACCAAAAAGCATCTCAGTGTAGTTTTACATCTCCTCTCTCAGGCTTCGGGCCACTGATTGTTTTTTGGGTGATCTAATAAAAAAGTAGCAGACTTCGGGTAAACACCCAGGGAAACCAAATCCTGCAAGGTTGGATGGTGGGTCCAGGTGGGTGGGGCTTGGGGCATGGCTGAGAGCAGTGACTGCTTTGTTGTGACATCACAAAGTCACTCAAGTTTCTGAATACAGGCTGTGTGCATTTCTCTGTGGACTGAGCACTTTGATACTTTCACAGTGGTGATATAGAACATAAACTTGCTTTATAATATGATAGAAAAGAAGACATAGAAATATCACTTTATACAATGTGGGACCTTTAAACCCACATAGGGAGAAGTACCTTCCCTCCATCGCTGAATGAGCAGTTACTGATGCAGTAGCTTGCTTACTGTCATTTCTGCCTCTCACCTCTTCTCCCTGCACTGGAAAGGTTTGGGTCACAAGACAAAATAAAAAAAAACATTTCCATATTCACACACATACACACACCTGTAAAATGAGTGCCAATGTGATTCCAGCACTGCAGATGCCCATCATGGCAAACCCTCCGATCATGAGGGGCCTCCTGCCCAGCTTCTCTATGGTGAAACACTACAGGAGGAGACACAGAGCTCAGATAAATACACACTACAGATACAAGGATGTTCCTTTTAACACACTACACCTCAGTGAGCTTTAGTGTGTTAAAAGGAACAACTTGACATTTAAGAAACACACTTGTTTGTTTTCTTTCAAAGAGTGATATCAACGTTCAGATGATATCAGTCACATGTCTGTGTGTTGAGCACAGTGCTGGAGCCAGGACGTAGTTAGCCTAGCTTAGCATAAATACTGGAAACAGAGGCAAACAGCTAGCCTGGCTCTCTTTCATTAATACACTTACCAACACCTCTAAAGCTGACTGATGTTGCATTTCATTTGTTTAACAAACATAGTTTGTGATTTTAGGAGGAGTTAGAGACGCTGGAACTATTTCTTGCCTTTATATAGTATATTGATATCTAAACTGTGGACAGAGCAGTCTTTATGCTTAGCTTGGCTAACCATGTCCTGACCATCACACAGAAATGAGACTCATCCATCTTCTTATCTCAAATCAATAGATTATAAAAGATCTTTCAGATACAACACCAATAAAAAGATAACACCAGGTACAATGCAACTCTTTAGTTTAAAAGTTTACCCCAATGAGTCCAGCGATGATCTCTATAACTCCTGTTCCTGCTGTGGTGTACTGTATCTCTGGAGCTGGGATACCCGCATTTTTAAAAATATCGTTGGTATAGAACCAGATCTGTGAAAAAAAATAAGCACAAAGATAATTAAGGGGAATATCATTTCCTCAGTTCTGCTTAGTTGCTTAGTTCTGCTTAAGATTGAACCCTTATTGACCAGTTGCTATAAGAAAGATTTCACTCTAGTAGTAATGATACCTTTTCATGGAGCCTTTAATCTCACCAAAGCCTACTGTAGCTGTAACCAGCCAATCACAGTAAAACAGAGTGAACACCCACTTCTGTTGACAAGCCCGCACATCCCCCTGACAGAAAGTCCTCCATGTCCCAGTTATGTATGCATGTATTGTGCACCGACTCTGTGAGTCCGTGCGGAGCGTTCAAAAATATGTATATGTGTACAATGAGGTGGGAGAGCAACATCAGTGACAAAGACGCTGATGACTCCCTCGAAAATCTGTCTCATCGTGACAGTTTCAAATTTACACATTTGCAGATAGAGTGAAGACTACTGGTGCTTCTCTTTATCATTTTTCTGCATTTTACACAGTTACAATTACCCACTGTTGAGCCAACTAGTTACAAGTCATCTGTGAGCAGTTTGGCTGAGAAGCACAGGTAAAACCTAATCTGAAATATGTGCCTCAAGAAAAAAAAATCAAAATGAGAATGCAGTCATTTAGGACCTGCGGGCTGCACAGGTGGTACAGCATTGCCACAGAAAGACCGCAGACATTTGCTCACATTTAATTCTATTTTCTATTATTATTATTATTTTTTTTTATTATTATTATTTATTTTCAGAGAAGTACAGCTGGTGCGCACACACACACACACACACACACACACACACACACACACACACACAGTCCGGTTGTGTGGCAGGAACAGGAACTGGAAGGCTTACCAACTGTCAGATGCATTTTGGACTAAAGATCACCTCAAACATCTGCTCAATCACGGTAAACATTACTGCCATCATCATCCTCATCATCGTCATTATTATTATCATCATCATCATTATTATCAGTGCACTCAAGAACATCCTAAACATAATCACAATGTTTTTCCCAGTCACCAGTGTCATTGTCAAGACTGTTATCATCATTATCATCTTCACCATGATCAATATCAATATCAACAGCAGGAATTGGGATCGTTCTTATAGGCTTCCTCTTTATTCTCATCATTCTCATTCTCATTATCCTCATGTTCTTCATTATTATCATCATGCACATTATTCTCATTATCATCATCTTCACTGTTATCCTCATGATCCTCGTCATCATTCTTATCCTCATCATCATCCTCATTATTCTAATTATCATCACTTTCATCCTCATTATCTTCATTATTCTCATTATCCTCATCTTCATCATCATCCTTGTTATTCTTATTATCATCATCATCATCATCATCATCATCATCATCATCACACTCCTCATTGTGATTCTCATCTTCATTATTCTTACTTTTATCATCATGCTCATCGTCATTATCATCATCATCTTCATCATTCTCGTTATCAACCTCATCCTCATCCTCATCATTATCTTCCTCTTTCTCATCATTATTTTTATTATCCTCATCTTCATCATCCTCATCAAACATAACGAGTATGACCTTAATCACTAACATCATCACTGTATCGTTATCATCATTCCTGTTGTCATAGTGCAGCAGGGATGATGTATTTTTGTGGGCTGACCTAGAAGTTAGCATCACCTGGGTTCTCGCAACAAAAAGTCAATGGGATTTTAACACAATGTCTTTTGGATTATTACAGAAAATAAACTGTGTGGCAACCAACAGTTTATGATCCTGACAGGTTTTGTTCAGCAGGATCAGCTTCACTAATGAGCACCACTTTATGATGTTTGAAGCCTAAATACAATGAGCAGGAGTAAAATGCTAATGTTAGGCTATAAACCAACTACAACACGGTCACATGACTTCACCGTCTCCACCACTAAACTTCAACTTGTAGCTTGATTTAGCTCTGACCTCTTCTACAAAAGCCTTTCCTCTTACAGAGTTAGTGACAGTTTGTATAAACACAACCAGGCTGTAAAGGTGGACTGGTGAGTAGATCAGTAATAGTAGTCTCATTTAGACACTTGTTAGCAGTTTTTTAACACATGTAATTGCGTCAAGAAATCAGGACTGAGGTACTTACTGACTTACTTCAGGCATCTAACCTTACACCCATTCAAAAACTCATAGACTTGGAAGAGGGAACAGGAAGTGCTGAAATGCAGTTAATTTCTGGGTATAAGCACTCGATTGTCAACAACAATAATCATAACCATCTCTGTTATCACCATCATCATCATCACGGCCATAATAATTAATTTTAATTAATTTCATAACACTCACACATATTATCCTTCTCATTCTAGTATTTTCATCATCACCACCTGTATCTCCATAATCCTCCTCATTCTCAGTGCTGCTATCAGTACATGCAAGTTTCAGCACTGCTCTCCTGTTGTGGGCAGAGCTCATTAGCATCTAAAAATATAGCCTGGAGAAGGGTGTGCTAATGAGTTCAGCTCCATAGCTTACAGTGTGCTCTGTCTGGCCCGGGCGCCCTGGTAATCATTTGAATAATTAATTAATCTCCAGGGCATAATTCAAAGAGGGAATTTGGCAAATCGTATCGGCTGAAAAGTGATGACACTAGCTTTTGGCTTCATTCACGAGACCACACAAGGATTATAAAACAATGAAGGATCATTTAGGCTTGTTTTCATCTCAATGTCTTTGTCTAATAAGCCAGGTCAGATGGAGGAGCTGCAGGAACAAGGGGAGTAGATAAAGTGGACAAAGAGGGTGAAAAGGCAAAAGGAGAACAAGGGGAAAGGAAGATTTAGTGCAAGTGAAAAGACCCAGACTGGACTAAAATCATATGATGCTGTTTCACTGGGAGTTTGTGCCAGTTAGCCTAAAGACTCAATTTACCAGACACCATTTGGCATCCAACAGCTGATGGTAAACACGGATAAAGAGGGGCTATAGAGTCAGAATATGTCTGTTGATACCCTTTAAACACCTGCTAAACCTCGAAATGCCCTCTGGACAAGTAACACTCCTTTATACCACTGGAATATTTTGACCATGTTTTGGTGAAATGCCAGTATAACTACAGGTTGCAAACTGTAACATTAATAGTAATTATATTATTATATTATTATATTATATTATAATTGCATTGGCAGAGTGTAGACATGACTTACACCTCTCCCTAACATACAGCGAGTGAGCGAACTCTACTGGCTGTAGCGTGATGAGGGGATGCGAGAGGAGGAGATTCTTTGCGCAGCTTATGATTTCTCCCTCTGAAAATGAATAGGTTTAAAACAGGTCCTAAGCTAGAATGATCATTTTTTGTGATTAGTACACTGGTATATCCTACGTAGGCTCATTGTATTGGTTTTAATAAAGAGTGATATTTATTATCTGTCTGTCATTTACTCACAGTTATCTCACAATCTAAAATATATAACTACTGTAAATAGCCTGTTTATGTTTTTTTGTATTGTTTTATGTAGTATGTTTTAATGACCTGTTGAAATGAAGGGGAGGACTTTGCATAAGCCCTCTGGGCTTCCTTCCTCTCCTGCACAATTTTCTGTCTTATTGTGCAAACTTCTGTGCAAACAATTAACTAAATACACTAAACTAAGCTAAAAACAGTGGGACAAGTTTGTGAAACTGTAGAGAGTCGATTCCTCTCTCAGACTCTTTTTCTCTGACTTTAAGCATCTTTCACTTTCCTCTCTGAGCTCATCATCTGTGACGGCTGTTTGACACATTTTCTCTCTGGTTTATTTCTGCAGTAAAGATGTTGGGAGATGCCTTCAACAAATATTTAGTCATAGATTAATTATGAAAGACTAACTATAGACTTGCTAGGTTTGCTAGCTTAGCAATATTAAAGATCTCATATTTTCCTCTTCTCCTGTGTTTTATTTGAAGTGTTGATCCATAAGAAGATAAACTTGTGGTTTTAAGAACCAAAAACCATCTCAGTGTAGTTTTACATCTCCTCTCTCAGGCTTCTCTCTGGAGCTCTATAAACAACAGGTCAGTGAGCCAATCAGAAGAGAGAAGGCTCTTAACCTCTCTTCTGATTCTGATTCCTGAGTGATCCAATAAAAATATAGCAGATTTCAGGTAAAACACTCAGAGAAACCAAATCCTGCAAGGTTGAACGGTGGGCGGGGCTTGGGGCATGGCTGAGGACAGGGACTGCTTTGTTGTGACATCACAAAGTTACAGAAATAACTGACGGCTGGTTTTAAGGCTCAGTTTCTGAATACAGGCTGTGTGCACTTCTCAGTGGACTGAGGATTTGATACTTTCACAGTCTTAATATAGAACCTAGACCTGCTTTATAACCAAACAACATGTAATTATCTCATACTCAAATATATGATGACAACATGACTACAACATCTAATGACTACAACATCTAATTTACAGAAAGAAATTTATTTGGGCCAACACAATGTCTTTTCTGTTCATTCAGCTCAGGCATAACACAAAAACACTCAGTCAGTCAGTCATAGGGAAAACTATGGGAAGTCATAGGGAAAGAGTCCTTACAGCATCAATGCCAGACAGCTGCATGCCGATGTTGATGACCACCACACTCAGCACCTGCCAGCGGACCGAGTCATCCAACAACAGTTTCCATACTGACAGTGTCTCCATTGACGACAGGGAGCGCTGCTCCTCCTGCATCTCTTCTATCTCCGCCTGGATGTTACACTTGGCTCTGTACCACTTCAGAGCTGAGACACAGGGGACAGGGAGCAGAACAGTTACAGCACTGCATAGAAAAGATGCAGCAGCACATCTTAAACACACAAGTGTTTACAGTTGCACCAGTTCAGGAGACATTTTGACCTTAACACATGGAAAGTCAGACCATATCTAAGGGGCTAAATACCTAAGTATGGTGATGTCATCAGCACCTTTAATATGCTGTGTGCTACAAGGGTTAATTCTTGGTCCCATCTCTGATACTCTGCCACATCATTGGTTGCTTTGATTTCTCTGATCATTGCTATACTGATGATACACTCTTTTATAAACAACACACAACTCAAAGTGTCTCAAAATCTATTACAACTAAACTATGTAATGATTTTTTATTGGACCAGTTATACTTTAATTTAATTGGACTTCTTTTCCTACAGTGTTAAAGTCAGTGTTCTCTTCTTCCTGTAAAGCTTCCCGTAGCTTCACAACACTGACCTGTGATGGTGGCGTGGACGTTGTGTTTCTCAATCAGCAGGTATCTGGGGCTCTCTGGGAACCATGGCAACAGCATCAGCTGGATGAAGGTGGGTACCACCACCACTGACAGAAAGAGGGGCCAGTGCTCCTCCTGTAACACAGGAGGTCCAACACAGTTAGACTTGTGAGCGTTAGCTTTATAGCAGGCAGCACTGATGATGTAATGACAACAATATCACCACTTTATTAAAGATGATTTTTGACAAAACTGATATGATCATTGATGATATCTATATTATTTAAACACTATGTTGGCTGTCTTTGGGAATAATTTTAATCTGAATGAATTCTAATGAACAGTGGCCTTTTTAGGACATCCCAGGTCAGGTTCAGGTCAGCTTTACTCAGTCCAAGAGGTGCTCTGATGGATTTATCCACCATACATCAACCTCAGCTGGAGGTTACATTTGTAACACTAAGCAAATGAATGCTAGTTCTTCAGTTACTTTACTTCATTTACTGGAATAATATTTGGATAACACATGGAATTAACAAGTTGCCAAAATGACACTTTGACTTTGACATCTCCATAGACACGGCCCAGTATGGCTGGTGCCAGTTTGTTTGAGCATTTGAAGCAGTTTTATGAACAAACAAGTGAAGACTCAGACGGATCATATTTACATACAGATTTGAAATGTAATTAATGTCTGTGAGTCTTCAGTGGTGTACAATAATTCATTTAGTTTGGGAGTGGTAATGATTTGGGGCTGGTGATGGATGGGTAGAAGGGGGGTTCTATTGGAAAAGAATATCAGCCTTTATTTATTTAAAAAAAAGAACAAATGAACGTTTTTGGAACTGTGAACTTAGTTCAAAATTGTTAAAAATGAACAATGAATGTGAGCTAGTTCATTTTCATCTGTATGAACTGAACTTTGAACTAATTCTTTTTAAGTGTGAACTGACACAACACTGATGATTTGACATGAGATGATGCAGAGCCAAGCTTCAGCTCCACATGGTCACATGACTTTTGCTTCTCCCCTCTGCACACGCTGTCTGTTGTTAGAAAGCAGTGTTTAATTACTTTTCCCAGAAGCTCATGCAGGCCGAGGATTTGGGCGGCAAAGACTCCGGTGCCGATGAAGATACTTGGCACGAGACCCAGGAAGCCTCGCAGATTCTTAGGTGCTATCTCACCCAGGTACATGGGTACGACACTTAGAGAGATGCCTGCAGTGACAAGAGCAGAGGAGAAGATCCGTGTGACAACAGAGAGACTTGCACTACGTGGACAAAAGTTTGTAGAGGCTCAAACAAGGTATATGGATGCCTGAACATTTAAACCAGTGTGTGATTGCTGAACAAAAAGTCAAGTGTAATGATTAAAAATAAAGTTGTATGTTCTGTTTTTAAATTTTAAATGAAGCAGCCGTCGTAGACCTTGAAGGCAAGGCCAAAATGAGACGGTCTGGTCTATGAAGGATTTTTGTTTTTTGTCACTAGCTGTGCCCACCCTTACCGTTGTGTTGCAAATTGCAGCTCCTGTTGCCTAGCAACCTCGACAACACATAACTTTTTTCACAAAAACTTGAGGTTTGAAGGCCCTTGGTTTTCACAGTTGTACAATTAGCTGTTGAACTGAGCTGTGTGTGTGTGTGTGTGTGTGTGTGTGTGTACGTGTATGTGTGTGTGTACACGTGTATATGTGTGTGTGTGTGTGTGTGTGTGTGTGTGTGTGCGTGCGTGCGTGTGTGTACCTGAATGAATTCCTGTGATGAAGCGGCCAAAGATGACCATCTCAGGTGAACCACAAATCCTGCTGAAGCCCATGAGTGAGCCGGCGATAAACACTAACACTGTTGTGTTTACCACTGTGCCTTTCCTGAAAATACACACACACATACACACACACACACACACACACACACACACACACACACACACACAGACAAACACACACACACACACACACAATCAGCAAGCAAACATAATGAATATACATAAAAACATATGAGCCAGAGGTTTATGAAACAAGGACAGCGGCAGCAGCGACCTCCCAGTCATAATGATAGACATGTATGCCTGTATAAGACCTGATTAGCCATAAAATGCTTCCACAGCTCACAGGGGGGGGGTCATAAGCTGTGATTAGTCATAAAACACTGCTGTGTGAAGAAAGTGATCAGCCTGTAAATGGGATTATAAATCGCCTGCTTTTCATTTGCATTTAAATGTCCACTGAAGTTGTGTGAAGCAGTGGCGATGAAAGGAGCTTTCAGACGACTGGGGCTGAATGTAAAAGAACTTTGCTCTGCACTTTGAGGACTGGTTCACTCCTGAAGGGCAGAGGGGACGACATGATGCCGGTGCCCTCTGAAGGACAACAGGGCACCAGGAGAAGGGGGGGAGGGGGGAGAGGGTCATCAGCAGCTCTGATTACAGAGGACAGAGGTGTGCTCTAGTGTTCTTTGCGCCAGTGTTTGTGTGTCTGTCCCTTATTTCCTTATTTCCCTTTTATATGAAACACTACAGTACATACATGTATATTGGACCATGTTTATCTGTGTATCAGTATCAGTATATTCTCATTATTGTATATTCTTTGGTGTGAGAGTGTGTTAGCGGTGTGTGTTCAGTAGTTTGTGTTGGTGGCAGCACCAGATGCTGCTGAGCGTCTCTCAGGCTGCCGCTGCCAACTGGCCTCTCTCCACCCTTGTGGTCGGACAGTCTAGGGAGGTAATTGGTGTCGGGACGGAGCAGATCCAGCGTCCAAATACAGCTCTGAGGACAAATGTTCCCTGTATGATGTGGAGCGCTACTGGTTACACTGAAGCTGCCTGAGGAGACGTCATTATGAGCTTTATCAATCTGTACTGACAAATCACAACATGCAGCTTTTTCTCTCCAGGGAAACGAACAGTGCCTTGAAAACCTTTCCATAATGTGACATGATGGAAGCAAACTCCCCACTGGACACTGTGGGCCAGCAGGTGGAGGTGAATCTGAGTAGTTGTTATAGAGTCAGTTCACCTTTTTTATTCTTCCACGCCGGCCACAGCCAGAGCCTGAGGCGTTATGTTTACAGGTTGTCGGCCCATCTGTCCCATTCTTGTGGACGCAATATCTCAGGAACGCCATGAGGGATTTTCTTCAAGTTTGGCACTAATGTCCATTTGGACTCAAGGATGAACTGATTAAAGTTTGGTGGTCAAATGTCAAAGGTCACTGTGACCTCACAACACACGTTTTTGACCATAACTCACAAATTCATTCACTAATTATGACACAGTTTAACTCAAATGTCTATAAGGATAAAATGAAATGATGTGATGATTATATCTAAAAGGTCAAAGGTCAAGTTCACTATGACATCATAATGTTCTGCAAAAACACTTCTGGGCATTATTCAATGCTGTAATACAGGGAGGAGAGACTGTGATCATATTTAGTGAAACCTGGCAGAGCCACTGCAGGGTGTGTGTGGATGACCAGAGAATGATATGGAGTCAAACTAAGTTGAATGAATGTGATTTATATAGGGGAAATAAACGCATCTGTTGATGCTATCCTGCTGACCTTTATTTAATTGAAATTCATCATTTATCATTTTTTATTTGTTGCTTTCTGAAAAAAATTGTGTGGTTGGGTGGGGGTTTAAAATCAAGATACAGAGCGATATGATTGATTCTGTAGGTGTGGTTAGGTTTAGGTGACTAAGGCTCAAATACAGAAATGTACAACTGCAAGGGTGGGTGTGGTTCGTGTGAGGCTCAGTTGTCTGCGTGTGTGTCTGCAGGGCCTTCAAATGACTTGGGTGGCATTAGGGAAAGATTGAGATCATGGAAGAAACCAACATTTACTGTTGTAGAACTGGTCCAGAATCCCGAATCCTCTCTTACCTGCCAAAGCGAGTGACCAGCATGCCCACGATGAGGGAGCCCAGCAGACCTCCAATGGCGAAGACGGACACAGTGAGAGAGTACATGAGGGTCAGGGTCTCCCCACTGAGTCCTGTTCCATTGCGACTCAGCACCGTCTTGTTGTAAAAGTCCTTTATGTACTGAGGGTTTGAGGGAGATAGGAGACAGGATGGAGGAGAGGTCAGAGGAGGGAGATCTTATTACAGGTGGCAGAAACACTGAAAAACATGAAGAAGGAATGAAAGATAATTCATTGTGTCTCCGCTGAAAGTCTCTGCTGGAGCTTTCACTGTCACGAGAAGCACATTTGTGTCTCTTTGAAAGAGTCACTGTGTTGTACCTGGGATAGCAGCTCTACTACAAGAGGCTGTCTGGTGTGTGTGTGTGTGTGTGTGTGTGTGTGTGTGTGTGTGTGTGTGTGTGTGTGTGTGTGTGTGTCTGTCAGTACGTAGCTGTAGCCCTGTTGTTCATTCATGTTAATGTCTGTCAGCTCTAAATATCTTGTGAAGCTCTGAATACAGCACAGTTGTCTTCACCGCGGAGGAAATAAATCTTGTTCATGTACAGCCTCATTGTTTGGTGCTTATCAGGCTTGCTGAAGCAAGCTAATGCTAACGTCAGCGGCAGCTCTGAGAGGCACAAGCTGCAGTCAGTCATCGTTCTGATTCTTATACTTATACTGCGAACACGGTCAGTGGGACAACGTAGAAAATAAACCTCAGAGTTCAGGAGGTGTGAGAAAATCCTACTGAACCAAACTTCAAATCCACACAGACAGAGACAGGATCATGTGCAGCAGGAAAAGAAGTTTTTACAAATGTGTGTATTATTGGAAAAATTGACACACTGACACATCAATGTTACATCAGTGCATAATACAACATAATATATAGCCTGTGTGTGTGTGTGTGTGTGTGTGTGTGTGTGTGCTGTAGCTCTAAGTATAGCAGGAAAGGGAGGGGTGAATGTTGTAGACCTAATAGAAGATAACAGAGATTACAGCTAAGATATCAGTTAAGGCATTAGAAGAGAGACAATGGTTACAATGACCTATACTGCTAAAACTCCATGAGAGGTATAGTTAATTATGCTAACAAATGAATCATTACTTAACTTCTGTATCATTATGAAGGATTCAGATTCTAATAGCAAGTGGTGGAGTAGCCATGTAACTCAGAATATAGATTATAAACCTTCAGGAAAACTTTTCACTTTTTTATCAAGGACCTGTCAAAGAAATGCTCAGTGAGCTGTAAGAGTTACAGAAGCTAGTTATACCATTAGTCCAGGGGCGATGTCAGGACTCTGGCTCTCTATTAAACAGTGGACACCAACTCTCCTGTCCCTCTACACTGAACAGCAAAGGGAACGTCTGTTTCAGATGATTTTAAAAGATAGTTGAATGTCTGTTTAAATCAAATCTCAGTATCAGTAGAAGTTGAGTTCTCTCTCTCTCTCTCTCTCTCTCTCTCTCCCTCGCTCTCTCTCTGTGGTGTGTGAGCCTCCACTGTACACTCCTCCTCACTGACTGCACCAGAAGCTGCATTCCTCCTAATAAAGTCCTGTATGCCAGGCATTTCACATTCCACATAACAAGCAGCTTCTCACACACACACACACACACACACACACACTCACATGCACACACACACACACACACACACGCACACTCACACACACACACACACACACACACACACACACACACACACACACACACACACACACACACACACAGACTTACTCTCTCCATCAACTTCTCACTCCCCCTATGTGTGTCCACACACACACACAGTGAGCATGGACTGATTTAAAACAACAGTCCATAAAAAAAACACACAAACATGTAAGAGAGATTTTTCTCCCTTTTCCACTGAAACTGAAACTAAAACAAACTTTCAGCCTCTCTGATCTTCTCAGATCATCTACTGTTTCTGTTCATACACTCAAACATACACATCTTCCCCTAACTCACAGCAGCGACATGAAATCTGCTTCTGTTCGGATCATTCTTTGTTTGCCTCCATGCTGCCTGAAACATGCAATCTTATTGTGAATATCTCTGTCATCAAAATGGTGCAAATAAATATCTGAGGTCTGTCCATTTCAACCAGGTAAAAGCAAGAACAACAACACAACTGCACACATTATTCAAGCTAACATAATCCCAGCTGTTGTAACTCTGGTAGAGAAGTGTTTGTGTATAATGCTGTCGCTCTTAGGAAGAAACTGATAGATCAGCAGTTCCCAACCTTTTCCAACTCATGGCCCACTTGAAATTCTTGAATTTTTCTTTGTTGTTTGACAGAGGAGAGATCACTTGTCGATTCATCATCTGTCTCTTGAATCTTACCTCTTAACTCTTCCTGTTGCTAACCAGCTATCTGTTTTGATCCTCCAGTTTTTGCCATAGATGTAATATTTTAGCGTGCAATCAGACGGAGATAGCAAACAAGTTAATGATGTGGTCTGGCAACAACATAAAGGTTCCTATCACTGGTTTATCACCGTGGTAGGTCTTAATATGAAAGGAGTTTTTCAAAACACTTTTAATGTTACATTTTTTATTTTATTTTTTCATTTAATTTGTGGACCCACTTGCAGTACCTTCATGGCCCACTAGTGGCCAACAGGTTGGGAGCCACTGTGACAGATGGAAATTGGTGTGTGTGTCAATGGTGTAAGGGCAGACAGGGGCATTGTTTTCTACTCATTTTTGTTCTTCATGATTTTTTAATGGAGAGCTGCTGATAAATGAAGTTTATTTATTCATCATCTTAAGAAAATCTATTATTTGCATTTTACAGTGAATACTAAGAACCGAACAGTGAAACTGAAATGACTGTGTGTATATTTGATGTCCTGTCTGGTGTTTTCTGTTGTACTTTTTATATATATTGTGAGCGTATTGATCCTTGTAGCCAGAATATAACTGAATCCAACAGTGAGCCGTCTTTACCCCCTCTAAACAGGGCTTTAGTTAACTTGCTGTTTGACTGGTCAAATGATGAGCAGACATAGTGACTCATAATTCCACTACTGAGGAAAAATCTGATATTTAACATTGAAATCAAAAATATCTGCCTCACTACTGGCTTTCCAGAAATCATTTTGGACACATGACCAGATTAACCCACTGGAGTTGGGCCCTCATTGTCGTAATTTGATGTAACACCACTTTATTTAGGAGTATAGAGTATATACCTGAGCACAGGGCTCCTCTACATGACAGGCTAAAAGAATAAGCTCAAACTGATGGGTACACCTTAGTTTGTATTGTACTTTAGTGCGTCAAATTCCTTAACAAATGCTATCAATTACCAAAAATCACTGACACACAGGGAATCTGGGACTTGGGTGCCATGAGTCCATAAGCAGTTCCTGACTTTACCTAGTTGATAATCCAGCCCTGGATCACAATGTGTGTGTGTGTGTGTGTGTGTGTGTGTGTGTGTGTGTGTGTGTGTGTCTCACCACAGCAGGGGAGTTGACCACAGCCAGATTGTAGCCATAAAGCATGGAGCTCCCGAAGGAGGTGAGGAACGCCACCGCCAACAGAGAGCCGGTCAGGTGCTGCTGAAAGATGGAGAGAGGGCGTGTTAGGAAGAGGGAGAGAGAGAGAGAGAGATTCTTGGCTCTAACTACAACTATGTCAGATCTTTACTACATGATTATTGTGGCCAAAAGAATTCACAATAAAAATATCATCACGTTATCCACAGAACATTTGAAAAAAAGTTAAAGATCTAACATCTCCCATCACCATATTATCATATGTGTATTTTAAACACAATATCAATATCGTTTTTTAAAATATCAACACCCCTTATTATAAGCATTAATGTTCTCCAAAACAAGCTAACTCAGCAGGAAATCAGACTGGCACAAATATCATCCTGCTTCTAGAATAAAGAGTTTATCAATTTTCCCAAGTGAGGAGATCACTCCTACCTGTCCTTTCTGTCCTATTCATGAAAGGTGTTCAGTCAGAGATATTAGTGCAATGGGAGATGTCCACTGAGCAGAATCAACCTGACTGTCCCTGGTCTGGACAGATTTTTTAACAATCAGGACAAATGGCCTGATTTTCAGCTGAGCAGGGACGACACAGATGGGAGTGCCACAATTGGGACCCCGGTGGGGTTTTTTTGGCTGTCAAGTGGGGCATCATCTGGGGTGGTCTGGTCTCTAGAGTGTTTGGAGCGCCTCATTCCACTGTCCACTGGATTGTCCACTGTCACTGAGGAGGTGGTGACCATTCTCCACAGGAAACCTGAAGGCAGTGTCCCGTGGGTTTGAAGGACTGGCAGGACACAGGGGCTTCTCGAAAGCAGCTGGAGCAATTGACAGCTGTGATTAGGATACGGTTGTGAAGCAGTATTTTGTATGCACTGCCTTTTATTCTTGCCTCTATTTGTTACTAGGTGATATCTAGTGGCTCGTAGTAGACCTGCATCTACCCTGCTCAATTTGATTGGCTGGCGCCTGTGCTGCAACTTATAAAGTTGAACTTCTACCTCAAGCAAAGCAAAGCAATGGAACCACAATGCAGTTCGACAACACATGACGTAAACCCATCAATTTGAATGAGAAGTGTAATTCTAATCTCACCTAAGGCATCAAAATGGGGAGAGCCGGCCCTCAAAGTGACGCATCAGGGAGGTAGTTGGAGTGGATGTTGGACATACAGAGTTCAGGACTGTGATACCAGAGACTAGATTCATATCCACAATCATGTATATGGTTTAGGCAACAAATTTGGTTAAGGTTCAGGAAAGATGATGGTTTTGGTAAATGTTAAAGGTCCATATTTTAAACTTCTCCAGTGATTTATTTTGAAGTGTTGATCCATAAGAAGATATATTTGTGGTTTCAAGAACCAAAAAACATCTCAGTGTAGTTTTACATCTCCTCTCTCAGGCTTCTCTCTGGAGCTCTAGTAACAACAGGTCCTTGAGCCAAACAGAAGAGAGGAGGCTCTGAGCCTCTCTTTTAATTGGCTGACTATTTCCTGGGTGATGGAATATAAATAAAGCAGATTCCAGAAAACCACTCAGAGAAACCAAATCCTGCAAGGTTGGATGGTGGGTCCAGGTGGGTGGGACTTGGGGCATGGCTGAGAGTGGTGACTGCTTTGATGTGACATCACAAAGTTACTCAAGCCCTGACGGCTGGTTTTAAGGCTCAGTTTCTGAATACAGGCTGTGTGCATTTCTCTGTGGACTGAGGCTTTGATACTTTCACAGTATTAATATAGAACCTAGACCTGCTTTATAATCAAACAACACATGGTCATCTACCTTTAGACTGTATGGACCTTTAATAAACAAGTTGTGTTTGAAGTCACTGTGAACTTTTTCTGTGATAAACTAAACCAAAAGAAAAGGTACAATTGTAAGAGCATAATCTTTCTGTAACCTTAGAGCTGCCAGTGTCTAAACAGACCCATCACACAGCTCAGTGATGCTGGAGTTACTACAAGCAGGTATCGTATTTCAAAATGGAATATTTTGGCAGAAAACAAATCCATTGTCTAAGAACATATTCAATGTCTGTGTTTTTGTGTGGTCAGCTTCACATTTCCATCAAAACTTATTGATGTACAGTATATAACATAACTTCTATAGGAGACTAGTTTGGCTCAGCAAAGCTCTGGGATCAGCTGGTCATCTTACTGTCATAACAGTCATGGTGACTGTTCAATGTGTTGATATTTGTGTTTTAATACAGTATATTCTTTATTGTAGATGTGCAAAACATGTTGATACAATATTTCTTCATCCCCAAGAAAAAACAACAAGCTGATTTGTGCTGGTTTGACTCACGTTAGCTGAATTCTATGGTGGATGTGACTGTGGTGGATGTGGATTTCCAATTTTAACAAAGTTTAGGATTTGTAATATCTATTAGAGGGCCAGCATAATGGTTTAAAAGTAGTAACCATGGAGATCTTTGCCATGCTACTCTATATCACACGTTACCTGCAAGACTATCACCAAGCAAACAAGTGCTGTAAGTATTCAGTGGTCAAGGTACATATGGACTGTAGCATCATTTCTCATGATTATGTGACATATAAACAATAATGTGAAGGATGAAATTTTTACAAATAGAAAAAATGAAATAGCTCCTTAGCTCATACTTTATTAAATAAATGAAGAGATCTGAATGAAAGCAGCTTAACAGGGTGGAGGTAGATTTCACATGTGACTCAAACCAATGTCCCTGCACACACACACACACACACACACACACACACACACACACACACACACACACACACACACAAAGTAGTAGATGTTGTGATCTGTGGTCTAACATTTTAAGCCCACACACATAATATTGTCTATAAACCATTCCAGTGTTCTCTTGATGATGTTTCTTCCTCATTTCAAGGTTTCAGCAGCGTTTAAACAGCAGCAACACATGAAGCTGTGTTGGTTGTAACACTCAAAACACTGACACACTCAGTGGCTGAATGTGTCACCCACACCACCAGTCAACCTGAGCCTGGGTCCAGAAACATACCTGTCCATGTCTGACTATGAATGAGTGTATTTGGTTATTGTACATGAAATAAATGATTCAGTGTTAAAATTATTGTTCACAGTAGATTTGAGGCAACACACAAAAAGCCTTTTTTTTTTTTTTAGCTTTTTCACAAAGGCACAAAGCCTGCATTACAGCAAATATTACAGTCTACTGTTGATCATTCACTTTGTCCCACTACAAACACCAGTAAGTTCACCCAACCTCTAGAAACTGACTATTTTTGAGTGAAATCAAACAGTTTTTTATTAGTTTTTTCTAATTTTAAAGCTTTGACCTACTAAATCTCATAAACTGGCGTTTAGTGCAGCCACTGATTTACTTTGTCCCCTGTGGAGCTCTACAAGTTTGAAAGCTAGTAGTAAATACTGTTCGCTGCTCTATGTCTGAAACAATATGGGATCAGTCAGCTGATGACCCTGGCTCTGGATCTGACCTGATTCATGCAAGTCAGTCTCAACTTACCGAAGTGGCTTTCCCCGTCGATGGAAGCAAAACCTCCTCAGCCATTTAAGAAACGTTAGTCAGTCCCAAACAGCAAGCAGCACAAGGGCTCCACTCTACACTGAAGAGGATCTCATGGCTGCAGCAGCAGCAGGCGTGGTCAGACAGGTTAAAGTGGTCAGGCCTGTTCATGTGCAGTGTGTCGGGCAGAAATCCACAGGCCCCCGATAACAAACCCGCACAGTGTCATCACATGACGGACAGCAGCGTGACGGACTGAGAGAAAAGCCTGCTGGAAGCAATTAACTTTAAGTGAATTTACAAAGAAAGAGACAGAGGAGAGGAGAGGAGAGGAGAGGAAAAAGAGAGAAGAACAGACGGGATAGGAGGAGAGTAGATGAAGGAAGAGAAAGTGAGAAGAGGAAGAAGAGAAGAGAAAAGGAAACCATAGAGAGGAGATGAGGTGAAGAGGAAAAGAAAGTAGAAGAGAGGCAAAGAAAGCAAAAGTAAAGAAATGGAGGGAGGAGAGAGGGAAATAGGGGTAAGAAGGAGAGGAGGGCAGAGGAGATTAGAGCAGGATGAAGTGGAGTACAGGGGGAGGAGAGAGTTTAATATGTTAGTGTAATACACAAATGAATGGAAACCAATGATGAGCAGAGGAACACATCCAACACATCAGAAGCAGTTCACTGTTAGGTTAAGGATATGTGACACGTACTATAGAGGAGAAAACACAGCCTCTTTTCAGAAACTGAGCCTAAAAGCCTGCCGTCAGGATTTCTGTAACTTTGTGATGTCACAACAAAGCCATGCCCAAAGCCCCGCCCACCTGGACCCACCATCCAACCTTGTGGGATTTGGTTTCTCTGAGTGTTTACCTGAAATCTGCTATATTTTTATTGGAACACTCAGAAAACAGTCAGCCAATCAGAAGAGAGGCTCAGAGCCTCCTCTCTTCTGATTGGCTCACCGACCTGTTGTTACTAGAGCTCCAGAGAGAAGCCTGAGAGAGGAGATGTAAAACTACACTGAGATGGTTTTTGGTTCTTAAAACCACAAACAAATCTTCTTATGGATCAACACTTCAAATAAAACCCTGGAAAAGTGTAAAATATGGAGCTTTAAATGTGAAACCTTTGAGTGTGCTACTTTCTTTTTTTGCAGCTCCCACAATCAAACACTCCCCCAGCATCCACACTCTGATCATGTGCTTGTAATGTCAGTTGCAGTTGAAAGAAGCAGGGCAGTGTTTTCTGAGAGTGATCATTGGGTAACAATCACCCGCCTTGCATTTCACATTTCTTAATCCTATGACTTTACCTCTGCTGCTGCTGCATGAAAGGCTGGTTTTGTTCAAAAAAAAATCCTGCCCTCTGGGACTAACTCGCTCTATTAGCCTACAATTCATCCCCAGCTGGTCTGAGACCTGCGATACTGTATGTCACGAGCAGATACAAGCACTATTCGCTAATTAGATTAGATTCTGATTTTCTCATGTGAACTGTGGATCCATGTTGGTGAATATAAAAAGCCACGAAACATTTCCTACTGAACATCTTGTTTCAATGACAGTCTAGTGTAGTTTTCTTTCACCTACAGTGGAACTGTTGTGAAATTATTCACAGCAACTACATCTTCTATAAATGATATGTTTTATCTCTTTACTTTCAAATCATTTTTTGAGAAGATGTGACTGCTCACCATTACAATTGTTGGCATCATTGTCGCCATAGTTACGGTAATAACCATATGGTTATGGTTAGGGACTGATGTTTCTTGCCCTCTCATGTCCACTTTGTTCTTGCAGTAATAAACACATTTTAATCATCTGTTGGTCTAATTTTTCATACATATATTATTTTACATTTTTTTGTCACATTCTATGACACGGTCTTGCATATCCTTTATATCGCTAAACAGCTAATACGTTTTGTTGAACTAGACTACATTCTTATATTAACGTAATGAGAATATGTTAATTAAAACATTTGATAAGTCACAAATATATTGAAATAGATTTCCACCAAAATATCTGATCCTGCAGTGCAACATCCACCAGCAGTGACTCCAGCATTGTGAAACTGCTTTATGGTTCTGTTTAGTCTCTCACAGCTCTTGGTTAAGTTTAGGTAAAGATGCTGGTCTGGTCTAATACAGAAAAGTTCACAGTGACTTCAGGCACAACCTGTTTTGTTACATTTGACAAGTAGAATTACCACCTCACAGTCGCATCCCTCCACCAAACAGCCAAGATGCAGGATATATGGTCACAATCTCTCCTTCCTGAGTTACAGTGTTGAATAATGGCCAGAAGTGTTTTGCGGAACATTATGATGTCACATTGAAGTTGACCTTTGACCATTTGGATATAAAATGTCATCACTTCATTTGGTCATTATAAACATTTAAGTGATTCATGTTGACCTCACATAGTTCCCAGAAGTTCATAGCGGGCAATTTGAAAACATAAATACAGAGACAGAACTGTGATCATCTCTAATTAATCATTGTTAAATTGTATTGATTTATTTATACAGCACATGGACACGTGCACATCACTGTGTTTTTTTCAGCAAAATTGGGCACTACTTGATGATATACAGACTATGTGTCAGGATATCAGATTGAATTTTCTAACATTTCTTTAATTCATGGTAGTTTCAGTAATCCAATGATAGGGGAAGGCTCAGTAATCTTAATGACTAATGTAATCTTTATGATTTTCCAGATAGGACAGAAGGAGACTGACAGGTGACTGTCAATGACTGTTATGAATTCATTTAATAAATCTCTAATAAACACAATAAACACATGAATAACATGTTAAGCACTGTGTTGTCCTTACATACAGTCTAACACCATGATGAGGAAAAAAAGATGCTAATAACCAAAAATATGTGAGGTATTCAAACCCTGCATTTGAACTTCTTCACAAAGAACACGCCATTAGGGAGCTCAGTGTTTGGCTTATTAAAAATAAGGAACAAGGAAAGGCTTGTAAAACCCAGACGCAGGGTGAGGGTGCTGTCTCACTGCAGGGAATCTTCATGCTCCATTGAACCTCCTTTTGGTTCTTGAGCTGAAATAGAGTGGAAAAAGACAGAGGAGAAAGGGTTAGACACACCCATACATATGTGAAGATTCTCATTCAGGTCATGGTTATCCGAGAAAAGTGGACTTAGTTGTAGATACTTGAAGATGTTTCACCTGTCATCCAAGAGTCTTCTTCAGCTCTGAACTGTCTTCAAGTATCTAAAACCAAGTCCAGTTGCCCTGGATTCAACCTGTCTTGGACACAGCTGTAAAGGTTTGGACAGGAAATTGCCTTTAAATGTGTTTATTCAGAGTGTTGGTGCAGGCAGTCGTCTCTATTGGATAGATAGGATCCAGACAGGAAGCACAGGGAGGCTCAGGAGGTGACTCGTCCTCTAATCACAGCGTTGGCTCCTCCTGTCCACATGTCAGTGTCCTTGGGCAAGTCACTGAACCCCAAACTGCTCCAGGTGGACGGTCCTGGCATGGCTTACATGGTTTTTACACTGTGTCATACACAGACTCATTTGAGATCTTCAGCTTTATAGATTTTATATCACACTCTACAGTGTCTGAACGATCTAATGCCATCTAAACCAATGTTAAATGAATAAATAAACACAAGTATGACATAAATCCTGAAATAAATATATTAGGTATAAATGTAGAAATAGATGTAAATATAAATATATAAGTGAGTCAATGAATAAATAAATAGCTATATTAATTAATGAACTAATAAATAAATAAATAAATAAATAATTTTTCATTTTTATTTTAGAAATGACATTTTTATTTATTTCCAGAGACTTTTATTTCCTAATGCCAGATTCCCAACTCTTTTTATTCCTATTTGTGGCTATCTCACAGATTCAGACCAAAGCACCAGCACCAGAACAGCACTGAATCACAAACTGAAATAAATGAAAATGTCATTTTTAAAATAAAAAGCAATTTATTTATTCCTTTATTTATTCATTTATCTAGCTATTTGTTTATAATATATTTATTGAGCCACTTGTATATTTATAGTTATATTTATTTATATATTTCTACATTTATTACCTTATTTATTGATTTCAGGATTTATTTCATAGCTGTACTTATTTATGTTATATTGATTTAGATGGAATTCCATAGTCTGAACGAGCTCTGGTGTGAAAAAGCATCTGGAGTAATAAAAAACTCTGTCTGATATCACTTCCAGTCTTCCAGATCCTGGAATCACGTGTGTGTGTGTGTGTGTGTGTGTGTGTGTGTGTGTGTGTGTGTGTGTGTGTGTGTGTGTGTGTGTGTGTGTCGATCTTATT